CAACAAATGTTGACCAAGAGTCATTCATTATTTAAAAAATATTTACATTTATCGAATTTAAAAACTTAAAGAGTAGGTGTTTCGGTTTTTAATAAGGCTTTGCCGTTTTTAAGCTGATCTATTGGTAAAGAAGAATATGGTGTTTCTCTCCATAAATTCAAACAGTCAAGAGCAAAATCCAGCCTTCATCATATATCTCATCACCCTATGAAATTATTTGGCTTTGCTACCATGACCAGTATGGCCTACATTAAATAGAGCCGGTGCAAAATAGAGCTCAGCACCAAAATATGAAGCATTTACTCTTAGATTATTCAAGTTTGCACTCTAATAACAAAATGTTGTTACAAAATGTACCCTACACTCCATGTAGATAATATTTTATATATTTTCTAGTTCTGTGAGTTGACATTTGACATTGAGTACATTTCATACTACGAAGAAGTTCTTGGAACATAAGAAGTTCCAAGTACATAAGAACTAAAGCACCTAAATAAACACACATCTCAATGATGTGACTTACCACACATTGCCGTACGCTAAAAACTCATACAGAGGGAGACTGTATTTTATTATTGCCCAGTGGATATTATTAATCACTGAAGTTCCCCTGACACAAGACACTCACAAGGCACTTCAAAGTACCACATACACATCAAATGGAATGTATCCTAGTTAGCTTGTAGAGAGGTCATTTGACAATGTATAAAAACAAGTTCACGAGTACTGACAGTTGGAACTTCCGCACTACTTTGTAACAAGATACTGAAATTTTAGAGGGAATTTTTTTTTAATCTCAGAATTCACAAGAATACTGCCAGTGATGGTAGCATGTTTTTAGTGTGGTTGACATCCCTTGTTAAAATAAGTAAAGATATTTCAGACATTATCCACAGAACATCTGTGAACTGTCAACTGAGGCCTTGAGAACAAACTCAAGGTCAGTACGGCTCCTGTCTTTTCACTGATGTTAAAAAAAACCAATGGGCTCACGTGTTCAAAATTCACAGGAATGTTAACCATGACGAGGCAGTCCCACTTAAAAGCCGTGGCTCAATAATGTAACTTTCTCAGCTGTGAAGACTACAGCACAACGGTGGAAAATCAGTTTAAAAAAGACTAGCTCAGATATGTATTTACAGAAAACATCCCTGTATAATCTAACTAATAAATCAAGTTCTTAAGCCACAGTTTTTTGTGTGTGTACTATTTGCTATAAAGGAGGGTTCCTTTCTGCAAATGGTTTCCTTATAATCGATCTTGTGGAAGATGGGCTATGGAGGATTCTTTGTTGTTTGTCTTACATTTTGGTGTATGCTGTCTGCATCAAGAAAAAAAAAATCTTAACTTATTCCAAAGCAGCAGCAGGGTTCTTTAGATGAGCTCAATGGGACTAGATATTCAGTTCCACCTGAAAGCCAACAAGAGAAACTTTACCTGTCTGGCGTAGAACTGTCTAGAAGAATATCATTAAAGCAATAACCCTCTATAAAAGTCAATGGAATTGTGGATGGCAAAACCTTTGTATGCCTTAGCTTATGACTGCATCTTCCACTAAAACATAATTGTAGATGTGTGGGTGGAGGGTAGAAACGGTAATGACATGCATGGGCTTTTTATGGCTACATAAAATCAGACACATTCAAAATCCAAGCAAAGTAAAGGTCACACTAAACATGACATGAGAGAAAGGTAAAAAGATAAAGACAACACCTTACGGGAGCAACAAAGTGACATCTTCAGCATGATTAGGTATTCACCACCAGACATGGCAAATCAGATGTAATAGAACACATCAATGCTGTGAGCAAAGACAAATGAGAGAGGAAAGGGAGAAAATGAAGGTGGAGGGACAGAAAACCTCTGACTCAGGCCCCACTTGTTTGCCCTAAACAACTTATTCTCCATTTAATGGGATGTACATTATTGCACAGTCATTTTTATACTACATAAGTCATTCCGTGTACCAAAACAGATGGACATTACGTTGTCCTTTAATAAGTCAATTTGTTTTACTGCCAACTGTCTACTCACACGGATGCGCACAAGGAAGCAGTTGAAATGGAGAATATCTCATGTACCAGCCACCATACATACAGGTTTTTATTTCCCTCCCTCCAACAGAGGGTGAAATGACATGATACCTCTGAACAGTTGGGGCTTAAAAGTTGTTTATAATGTTGCAGCAATATTTCCTACTTCATTCACTGGTTTCTTTTTCATTTTCAGTGCACATATAGGTAGAGTTTTAAAAATGTAGGGAACAAAAAATTATAATATTATACTTAATATTAAAAACTATTTTTAAAGAATGTATTCACCATGACTGAGGCCCGTGTGTCAGCTTTTACAATACAAACCTCTAGCACAAACACTCAATCATACCCAATATTGAACAAAGTAATTGATTGTTGTAAGATGTAGATGATGACTTGTGATCACAGAAGATCATAAATAAGATTAAGTGGAATATAACAAAAGTTAATCTGTCTAAATAATTCTGTGGAAATACATGTATGCCTGTTGCATCCCAAGTAAATATGTGGTTTTATAGATATTGTTAGCTGTAATTAAGCCCCGTACAATAGAAAACACACAAACTGGCTCGCAGACATCTTAACAGTAAGTAAAAACATGTTTTTCTTGACACTTTCATAATAATTTTGTTTTTTGAAAGAATATTTTCTACTTATATTACATAATAATCAATCCAGGCCTGATTCACATTAAAATGTAAAAATTATCTTGTATTAATATCATGATACAAAAACAAATTAAATATTTATGCACTGCTACAGCGCACAAATATTACTGACAAATATTACTCTCAGATACACTAGCTAAATCACAACTGACATGCTTGTCTTGTTAGTAAAACTTTTGACTCTTGTCTGCAGCAACCCATTACACATTGCTCACATTTTTTCAAATGTAAAACTCATACACTGTGCATGTCTATAACACGTGCACTAGGGACTGCCATGGTGCAACTCTAAAACAAAATGTCTTTAAAGCCGCAAAATAGGTTTCAGATGGAGCGCTTCTTCAGATATAGGTATATTTTGATTTCCCTATGATGAGGAAAAATCAACGTTAGAAACAAATGTTATAACATCAATAATTCACTTGTGTCTAAAGGGACCTCAGCACCTTAGTGTTATGCACTGATATTATTGACAGAATTCACCCTTACTAAAAATATAATATATATATCAAATTATTTTTGTTGTTGTTTTTTTTTTTTCAAATTCATTTGCAGTCCATCACAGCGCATATATAAAATAATCAACCATTAACAATACTCATGTTCATTACAGTATATCCAAATAACCTGAACCCTAATCAATGTTGGACTGTGGAAAACTACCCACACCTCAGCAAACATATGCAAACTCCATGCAGAGAACAGTAAGGAACAAACCAGCAAACCTGTGATGTGGTATGATGGGATTGATAACCAATACTGGTGGTCCCAGCTGTAGATTATCCACAAGAGAAATTTAAATGGAAAGGTTTGTAGATTTGTGTCTATGCAGTTCTAATTAATTATGAAAATATGTTCATTACCTTTTAGAATAGTATCTAATACAGTGGTGTAATATTCCCAACTACCCAAGATGATTGGATGTTCAATCCATTCCATATTATTTAAATGAATGAAATATTCCTTTGTAACCTTTAAACAACTAAAACCATTGAGTGACATTGAGTTGTTTTTTAAAATATATCTAGTCACTGCTATTTGACAGGGCTTTGCATGAAGCCGACTAAAAACAAACATCCTAAGTGATATATTATTGTTCAACACCTCCAAATCCAACATTTTTAGAGAAGGGTGTAGACTCTTCCACTGTATCTACTATATATAAATGTGATTTCTACTCATTGCTTCTCGTTGCTGCAAGACTGACTGGATTATTTTATCTCAAACAATGTTATTTCTAGATTCCCTAAAGATTTTACTGTACAGACTAATTGACTCCAGACTAATGTAGTGACTAATCCACAATGACATTTAGAGCTTGACGTCAACTAGTTGCTGGTCACATGTTTTTGATGGCGAAAACATGAACGCCCCAGAGAAAGAAACAGGAAATGCAGAGCTGCAGTAACAAGTGAGTGCAGTGAGTGATACTAGTCTGGCACTTTACTTAATTTACAATTGTCTATTTCTGAATGTGCAGCTTTGGTAAACTTGGCGATTATTCCACCACAGATTAAAAGGTTTGTGATTATTTGAAAACAATGGAAATTCACAAAATTTTACCCAACCCCATCTTATGCCCTTGTGTTCTTACAAAAATCAAGTTTTTAAAAAATGCGAATGAAGCTGCGACTGAGATAAATTAATATTTAGGGAGATTATGTGCAACTAATACTGTACATGTGGACTATAAATAACCCGAGAGAAAGATGTAACAAAACGTGTGCCACAAGAACTAACAGACTACGAGGTCTGTTCTTGTTATTACCTGACAAAATGTCTGCCATGAAAAAGACGAAATCTTTTAATGAACTTGAATTTATCACATTTATTTATCTGTGACTTTTCGTCAACGTAATAACTTCGTTTGTTTTGATTTACAACACATTTTAAACTTTAATTTAAATATAATAATAATGAGTAATATCAATCAATGTTTTCGGTTTTAAACCATTGATTATTGTCAACTATAATAGGTTCTCTGGCACTACTTTACGGCTGTAAATTCGTTTTATTTTGACGCAAAAAAAACAAACCTTACTTACTGCTATGGTATGGTACCTCTTTAAAAAGAAGCTTTGTTTTAAAGGAGGCAAATCGACTTTTGCTACATATACAAATATAAACGAGGGAGCGACGGTTACGTAACCTGCTGTTTCGAGCGGTTTAGGTCTCACTTTATCCTCATTAACGACAGACGCCATTTTAAACAAACACAACAGCCACAAAACAACCTTTATATCGCAGTAAGAGAAATTACTTGCAAACGACTTTAAACCATTTAACTCCAACTTACCTGTGCGACCACGACACTGCTGTTCACAGGAACAAAATCACACCAGCTGCCAATATCTGCTAATTGCTCCCCAAACCAGGTCACTTTTAAAATGTCGGCCTGCTCTCTGTCCACTGCTGGACACTGGAGGTAATGCAGGTGAGGATGGTTAAATAACATTAGAAACCTGTGAACAGTGCTGAGTAATGGTGTTTGCAGTTTATAAACCGTAGTCCTCTATGGTGCAGTGTATTGTGCAAGAACGGTTATTGTTAGTGTTTCTGATTCATATGAATCATAATGTGTAATTGTCCAGGGGGTAACAAAATAATTTTACGTATACAGGCATATTATGGCTGTATACTTAAAATATCCATGGTTTAAATTTTAGTTCATAACATTATTTGTAAATCAACAACACAACTTCTCCTTGCTGCTAGCAGTAACTACTACTACCTACACAACTAATGCTCAACAATGGGCTTTAATTATGTAACATTCAGCTGCTTGTGTTGCTCCTGCTTCCAAGTTTTTGTGCTGACACCGATGCCAAAAACATCTTAACTCTGTATTTACTGAGTCAGCACTGTGTTGGTGACATTCATGCATCATCAGCCTCAGCACTAAATGACAACGCTTTTTAACTTTACTTGCCCTGCCATTTCTTGGCTGGCTTGTTGTGGATCTTTACCATTCACACCTCCTGAATTTACATTTGATTGTGTAAAATCGATGCATAGAAAAGTTGGGTGAATTGATTTGTTGCAAGAAGGGCTCCTGTAGGGTACCACATACTAGGTGTCACCACAGTTACTTTGGACTTTGTGGGTTACTAAAACGGTAGCATCTACCTGCTGTCTTTTGCCTTTCAGATTTGGGATTGTCGATTTTTTATGATTTGATTTGAATTTATTGTGATGAGGTTAATGGTTATTAATGGTGAATAATTGTGATTAATTGTAATTAAAATGTATTAATCCACAGCTACATTGTGAATAATGTATTTTATTTTATAAATGTACATTTGACAGCTCTAATTTGTTTTGTTTGTTTGATGTTTACAGTGTTTAAAAGTTCCATATTTAAGCTCCTCAGGAGCAAGACACAAATTGTGTGGATGTTGACCCTCACACGTGGGTTCCATCCAGGTCATCGTTATATCAATGTAGATTGTGACTTGTCTAAAGTAGAGGCTAAAAGAAGAACGTGGTCTGGCAGATAAGAGCTTCACAGACCCACAGAGTCATTTCAGGCATGACAGAGAAACTGCAGCTGGGATTAAGCAGGAACAAACAAAGCTTCCAATGTGATACTTGGAGAGTTTCTCTATGCATGTATTGCGTCACAGTGGCTGATCCAAGTTAAACAGATGAGAAACCTGAGCATTCCCACTTCTCACTGTGCAACATTTGGTGTAGAGTAATCATCTCAAACCTCTCTGTGCCCCCTTCTACTTTCAAAAGACACCTTCAGGGATTTCCTCCATCATGCTGAGAGTGGGTGATTTGATATTCATCCAAGTTAATTTCACTGATGAGTTCTCTGCTTGGCTCTGAGTAGAGATGTTGCTCTAGGCTCAGCCCAGGAGGTAGAAAAAAATGGGCTCTCTTTTAAAAGGGTGATATGAAAACAAATTTAGGTCTCACAAGAAGAAGCTGCTCTTGAAGATGGATCAATAGGTGGTGCAGATGTTTCCTTTTACGTACATTTTGACATTTTGAAGTATGAACTCTTAACAGGACTAAACATAATCACAAATATGAAAAATAATATCAAACCTTAAACGAGACATTGTCATTCTGCTATTATAACAAAATAATGTTTATATTCATAGACCTTTCCCAATTGTACCTCAATGTATCCTAAATAAAACTTTGTGTATAGTGTGAGAGACACCATAAGAGGAATCTAAAAGACAAACAAATAAATAAATAAATGAAAATGATGGCTACTATATTGTTTTTCTTTGTAAGCAGAGGTTTTTAAGGGATTTTGATTAATTTTGACTAAACCTCGGGACCAGTGCTGCTGGGTAAAGGAGACGATCCAAAAAAGACCAACCTGAGAGTCGCAACCCAGTAGTGATGGGAAGACCGACTCTTTTTATTGATTCGAATCTTTGACTCTCGAACACTAAAATGAACGAGTCGTCAACGAATCTTGAACAAAATCATTTCATTCGTTTTACAGCAGTTGGCGCTTTAGCCCTATTGTGGGCATTGTAAAGAAGGCTGCGGTTCTCCGACACTAAATACTGAAGGCAACATGGTTTGCTTCCGCTGACAAAGTCTACAAAGTACACAAAATGTCATAAGCAATTAAAACCATGCGAAAAGCTAAGAAATAAAAACCCACTACAATGTGACGATGAATGAATGAAGCAAAAGAGACACGAGCTTCGATGAAACGAATCTGCGAGAACGAAGCGAAAGATTAGTTCACAGAGAATGATTCATTCACAGCGAAAGATTAGTTCACGGCGAAAGATTAGTTCACAGAGAGTGATTCGTTTGCAATGAAAGATTAGTTCACAGTGAAAGATTAGTTCACAGTGAGTGATTTGTGAGTGATTCGTGAGTTCAATATGAACAAATATTTAATATGACTCGGGAGTCACGACTCATATGAAAGATTAGTTCATTTTGAACGAATCACTCGCTAACGACACATCACTAATTGATATACGACACGACCAGAGAGCCCACACTGTGCGAGTGAAAACGGCTCGTCGGCTCCTGCTGACTGTCCTGTCTATTGACAACATTTATTTGAAAGCACCGACGCCGGTTATTAGCAACATGCTATTCATAAAGAAGAAGGCTGTCATTATGATTGCTACGATACTGTGCGCTGAAAGTTCGAAATAGAAGAGGCGCCGGCGCATCTGGAGTCGGAGACGTTTATTGTGTATTTATTGTTTATTACGTTTATTGTGGACAGTGCCACAGCTCTAGCAATCTCGCCTCCATATTTTCATGCCACCGACGCCTCGCCATGGTTACTATCACTTTACGCAGGCGCACTGAGGGAGAGGTGCTCCGGTCGGCTCCGGGCTCAGCTTCCACTGTACGAAAGAATTTGTCGGCCATGTCAGAAATTCATCCGACCGTCCAACGGTGGTTCGGGAACAGATAATCAGCCATCGTTACCCCCTGTACAGAGTACAGAAAAAGACTCCCAAGGGAACGTGAAATCGAGCCGAGCGTCGCCAGGTCGGGTGTCTCAAAAATCGGGTCAAAAACGGGCTAAAATCGTACAGTTTATGCCTGCCCTAAAGGATATTGGGCTTGCGTTATATTAAAGTAGCTTTTGATAGTTCTCTACCAGCAGATCCACCATATCATTAACCATCCTTGGACTGTTGTGTCTTTGGCTCCTTGACTGTATCCAATACAGGCTCCCCTTATAGCTTTCGATTGATCCAAACTCAGCCAAGCACAGAAAGAACCATCCATCTACTCAGTTGCCAAATGCAAACTAGCTTCATCATCAACTTGCCACTAAGAGATGTCTGCCTGGATGGTGATGCTCTGTAAAGTTTTAAAACACTGAGAATTCATCATTTTTGTCTTAGGTCAGCCTGTCTCCCTCCCCATTCTTTCTATTTCTCTGGGCTTTATCAGTGTCATCACACTCACCCGTGTCACCTGGTGCCATGGGAATATAGACCTCTCTCCCTCAACTGGTCCTTGTGGCTTCGTTGCTCAGATGTTGGCGTTGATGTCACGTTGGTCTGTGTTAAGTCTTCATGATAGAACATGTTGTGTTCTGTGTGTGGTTCCTGGTTCTGACTTGTTCCTAGGTCCTTGTGTGTTACCTAGTTGTGATGTTTTTTTTTAATTATTTAAAAAATATATATGTTTATAATTTTTTTTACTTATGATAAAAATAGATTTTTATTGTCTTTTATTTTGTTTTATTTTTTTTAACTTTTTTTAGCATTTGATCATTGTTGTTTCTCAATTGCTGCATATTAGGTCCTGCCTTTGCTAAACTTTACATTGTGTCCTATAAGCTGATCGTTGCCTGTGATGTCAGGTTCAAAGTGACTTTTGACCTGGAAAACGAGAGTCAGCTAAATCTGGTTACCTTCTGTTTCTCATAGCGCAGGTATGTGGTCTGCTGCTGACATGGAAAAAAACCCAAGAATGAATAATGTACTCTGAAGCCTAAAATTAGTGCTGAACACTTACTGAGACCTTGTGACCATTCCATGTTGATCATTAGGTTTACATATCAACACTGGCATTTCGGATGAAATATGAACATGGCATTTGTGTTTCACACCGGGGTGCACACCTGAAGCTGTTATTGGCTACAAGCTAACCAATGTAAACTTGGGATATAGCACTAATGACTGCACCATCCTGTCAAAGCCAGCACGTAATAACTCTGCCATTTTTACCCTATTGTCCTTTTTTTGGAGTGGAGATATAGTCATTTTATATAGAGGTTCATAAACGTATCACCAAATGGTACATTCAAAAGCTTTGAGTAACGTTGATTTTTATTTTATGTGCAGAGATAAATGTCTGCTTTTCATATCAGATTGGGGAAAAGGACACATTCATCTGCACAAAAATATCAGCAAGAGTTGAGTTAAAACGAGAAAAAGATGTGGTTTTGTATTATTTTTTATTTTGTATGAATCAGCTGTATATACTTGTTTTATTGATTCCATTAACCATGTGAAATGCATTTTATTTGCTTTTGTTGCTTTTGTCTTTATGGAGAAGAATAAAAAACACAGCAGTGATTAAATCAGTAGTTACTATGACCAGAGCTTGTGGGCAGCTTCACTGGTTACAAAATAAGCTATAGTTTGAACAGAACTCCTGATCTGGAATTAAAGGAACATTTTGTTTGTGGTAAAAGTAAACATCACAATGTACATAGTTCAATAATAAATGTGCAAATTGTGTTTGAAAAGTAGCAAGTATTTTAACATTTAATTAGCGTCAACGCTACTGTACTGCATATAAGTGATACTTAAGGCCTGAAGTACTGAAAAGTTACAACTAAAATGGTTCCATTAGCTATGTCCTCTGGGAAAGAATTAAAAATAAAAAGAAATGTAAGAAAGAACTGTCTTCATTTTTATTTATCACCAGTTCTTAAATCGTGCTAAAAACACATTAACAAGGCAGCCCTAAAAGGAACACATGATGATTCTGTACTGTATGTAATGACCCCAAAGCAACCACCCTGG